GGTTACTACTAGGAGTGACCACCAACTGAATGGAGCTGGTACTTGAGATAAAACCTATTTGCCCTCCTTAGTCCACATGATTCCTCTCAGTATCATGCATTCTATGATTATGTAAAATAAGGAACGCTAACCGTCTTGAGCAGGTGACTGACACATGACAGTCTCACTTAAGAATGTTAATTTGATAGCAAAATAGAAGATAGGACATGGAAGGAAAAGAACCGAGGGAGAACAGCTGGTGGGAAGCTGTAATCATTCAGATGATGCAAACTGGGTACTGAGAGACATTTCTGAGGTTAATTAATCAGTAGGGCCTGATGGTGCAATCATCTCCATAGGAATGAAATAGCCAGATTCACAGTCTTATCCTAACTGTAAAATTTTCTTTAGCATTTGAAAAAGTTCATATGTATAAAGGACGGAAAGCAACATTTACTTCTCGGTACCATCTTCTTGGTGCTACACACTTTCACATTAGTAATCATTTTTATTCTTTGCTATAGTCCCAGTTGAAAGGTTGGGAAATGCCTAACATCAGAAAGCGTTCAATGGGTCTAGGATTTAAACCTGACTCTACCGAATGCAATGCTGATACTCTACTCAAGTAGTGTGTTGTCACAATTGTTTTGAACACTGGAAATGAGTCAGGAAGAGAGAAAAATGCAGAATCACTTCTAAATTAGAGCAAAGAAAGATAAAGCTTTTAGAAAACTACAAATAAAGGGAAATTGTACTGTTGGGAAAGGCAGTCTCCTGTGTGCAGTCTTTCCACCACCAGTTGGCTACATAACAATGGGCATTGGTCCTGGAATAGTTCATTACCAAGAGTTAAAGAGTCCAAACAGCCTTATCAGGCTTATCACCTTGTGTGGAAATATCTTTCCTTGTTTCAGACACAATAGTGTTCCTTTGTTTCTCTTAAGCATGTATGTCCATAGCCTCAGGCACACCCCCAGCTTTCAGTGTTACAGACTCTGTAAGAGTCAGGGTTCTTTCAACTGGCAGAACAGCAAGGAGCATAGGACAATCACCCTGAATTGGCCACCAGGAGAGACCCTCTGGCCACAGTGGACCAGCGCCCATTATGGAAGTTGATCTTGCTGTGTCTCTTCTCTATGTAAGTAAAGAGCTGTTCCAATCACTGCTTGACTGTTATGTTTTCCTTGGTAACTCCAATACCAAGATACAAGGGGCCTCCTCCCTGGGATTGGTAAGTGGTGGATGGTGTTCTACTCTCTTGGGACTGGTACCCTGCATGGAACTCTGCTTGACACATACCGTAGAGAAAGTGTCATACATACTTGGTTAAAGGATTTTGTTGTTGTTGCAATCTTGGGCATGGTTTTGGTGAGAAAGAGAATAACCTTTCAGACTGGTAATATTCTAACCCTTAAATCATAATGGTGAATATCACAGCAAAACCCCCAGAAGCACTGAGGAGACTATATTGAAGTGTAGATATGAGCTTTTATTTCTAGTTAATGCCAACTGGAGGTGAAAAGGAGCATGATTAAATGCAGAGGTGTACTGTAATGTCTAATATGACTACATTAGAGTATGATGTCTTTGATTAAGAAATCCTCCACATTTCAATTTGTCATGCTAACCCACATGGTCATTAAAAGCTCTGCTGGTTTTCCCTAACCTCAGTGAAGTCTCTGTCTCCATAGCAGGCCCATCGTCTTCCTGCCCCTGCTCAGCCTTGGTGAGCACCCCAGGGAGAAAAAAGGCTACCCAGCTCTGTTTACCTAGAAAGCACTGTGGCCTTTACGGAATTTACTTCCCACAACTCTCGTATGTCTTTTAAAAATACATGATTTCTAGTTTATCCATTTTTTTTCTGGCTATTATGGCAGAAACCATGGTCTTTTACAATATATTATATTTTAACTGGAAGTAGAAAGAGCAGAATTACATGTTATATTATGTTTATATGTCCCTTCTATTGTACTTAATTTAGATTTTCTGGTGGAAACAAACTTAATTTTGTTTAGTGTATGTCATCTTTTAGATCAAATCTTGTGACTTTTATCAATGTATAACTGATTTTGAGATGAGTAAAAATAATTCTCTAAGTGACAGATTATCTTTTTTTTTAAGGATTTTTTTTTTTCATTGGGGAATTGGGGGAAGGGGAACAGATAAGTTGCTGTCCTTTTGTTCTTCAGTCTAGTTGTGGAGGATGTTGCTTCACTGGCCCAAGTTGGCACCATCATTGCGCTCTTCCCCGGGCGAGGCAGATCAGTCTCTGGCTTCTGGACAGCCGCTCACGCTGGCTGCTGGCTACACACGGTCGCCCATGGCAACCCACTGCAGCAGGGGCTGCAGCCCACGCTGTCACCAGCGACTCACGGCAGCTCAGCTCCAGGTTGAGCTGTTGTTCAGCATCTTAGCTGTGGAGGGCAGTGGGATCCGAACTCATAAGTGGGATCCCAACCAGGGCCCTCTGGCGTCCCAAGCCAGCTCTTAACCTTCGCGCCACTTGGCCGGCCCAGTGACAGATTATCTTAACTGCTTCTATGTAGGTTTTCACTTTTAAGGGGAATGTTTTGTTGATTCACCATTAAAAACGTGTTTATCAGATTAACTGTACTTACTACTGGAATCACCAAAATAGGTTATTAATGTTAATGGTAACTTTTATCCTATTATTGTTTAAAGAAGTCTTACTTATGGTTATTTCATCATTAAACAGGGATTGTTTTATCAATACAAGCAGCACTTGCTGGTTTTAAGAGCCTCCTACTGAATACATTTAGGTGTCCATCAATACTTGGGGCAGATATTATACTTGTCACTTAGTGTAAATCTCATTCTGATTAAGGTGAAGTGGCCATAGCATAGACTTTGGGCTAAGATGGAGCAGCTTATAGTAAATCAATACTTCCAAAAAAAGAAATAACTTGAAAAGTTGGATTAAAAAATATCATCAAAGGCATAAGAATTATAAAGTTAAATAGAGTTAAAGTCTTCAAAGTTTCTAGCATTGTCTGGGAAGTAGTAAAAGTATTAATTTATACTGGGCTCTAATAAGTCAAGGATGAATGTTGTAATTTTAGAGTAACCATCCAAAAAATGAACAGAGAATGCAGAATTAACACATATCAAAAATAAGGAACACAGAACAATAGAAAATGGAAATAGAACAATTCATCTTTCTGATTCATCCAAACAAGAGAAAGACAGGAGAGAAAATGGAACATAGAACAGATGGGACAATAAGAAAGCAATTGTAATATGGTATCCATAAGCCCAACAGTATACATAATTACATTAAATGTTTCTGGACTAAATACAAGAATTAAAAGGCAGAAATTTCAGACCAAATATTAAAAAATATATGTTGCGCATGCAAAAAAAAACCTAAATAAATATGCAGAAAGAATGAAAGTAAATGGATGAAAAAAAATATGAGGCAAACTCTAACCACAGAAAGCTAGTGTAATTAATAGTATACTAATATCAGAGAAAGTAAACTTTTAAAGCAAAAAGCATTTCTAGAATTAAAGAGATTTCACAGTAATAAAAGTATCAATCTACTTGTTGGAACTGTAATAAAAATATTAGAAGTACATGAGAAAAATAAATAACTGTTCTATTTGTTTTGCAAAAGTGTAGAAAATACATTCACCCCATTGAGATAGAAAAAAAAAAAGTCCATGAGTGCCATCTGATGGGAGGGCCAAGACCTAGTCATTTGTAACACTCATAACTCTAATGAATTATTTTCACACCTTGCTAAAGGTTGGTCTTTCAGGACAGGTTAGGTTATGCTATAGAAATAAACAACCACCAACTATCATGGCTCTTCCAAGACAACTTATATCTGGCTCTGACAAAGCCTGTGGCCATTCAAGATGATTCTCCAAGGCCACTGTTGTCTCAGCATTCCTGGCTGATTCCATTTTGCAGCACTTCCATATCATCATATACTTCCATAATTGCCACAGGAGAAGGAAAAAGAGGTAGAGGCTCTCACACTGGCAATTAGATGCTCCAGGATAGAAGTAACACATGTCACTTCACTTCTGCACACAATCCATTGGCCAGAACTAGTTATATGACCCATTCAACTGCAAGGGGTGCACGGAAGTATAAGTTTTCCGTGGGCCCAGAAGGAAAGGAGGAGTAGGAATAGATTAGGATCAGAAGTGTTTACCATAGCTGGAAACTTCTGTGTAAATTTCCGAGGTCATGAATCTTTATAAGGTCATGGAGCATGACAATCCTGATGAGAATGGGTATTGTTTCTATACACTCAGCTGCTTCATCTCAGAGATTGATCTCTTTTTCACCAAAGGAAGCACTGGCCAAGGTCCAGCACAAGGACATGGCCTCTCAAAGATCCACGACCTTTCGGCAGTGCTTGGACAATTAGCACAAGGAGTGCCCCCTGAGAGAGGAGAGAATCAGAGGCAACAGAACCAAAAGTGAGGCAACAGGCCTCACTGGGGAGCACAGAGGTATAAGGAAGTGACAGCTATCTTGAGCATTCTCTGGCTGGAGTAATCCTCTGGTACTGCACAGAAATGGCCAGATAGCCTGAAACTTGGGGTTCAATAACTCTTAGCTAGCTGGAGGTGCAGGCCAACTGACCATTTATATTGACATGATTTGAACTCATCCCTGACTGTTATACTCTACAATGACACATTCTGGATCCATTTCAACTGGTAAAGATGGTGATTCACTTGGTTCTACCCTGTAGTCACCCTGCTAGCTCTTTCGGAACTGGATGGCCCTACTGCTTTCCCGTGGCCAGGCTGATGCCAGATCCCAATAAGACATTTCTCTAATCTTGGGATAGCAAGTAGAGATTGAAAAACATTATAGGATTATAGGCTGTATCACAGGTTTGATGCATTTTAAAACTACTTTTTCTCATTCTTTTTCTTTTCCTCTTCTTTCCCTGTTGATAGCAAAAACAACTTCTTAAAATACTTTTACTTCAATAAGACAGCTCGGAGCTTAGAAATCAGATAGTGGTGTGCAGCACGCACCTCTAACAGAAGCCTTTGATGTAGTGCTTGAGTTTGAGTGAGTGCGTCCCAGGACACTTTCAAGAGCAGCTCCATCTTTTTTAAATTTCGAAAATCTCGTTCTTTCTCTCTTTGCTTACGAGAAAGTTCATCGTGGTAGTTCTGCTTGTCAATGAGACAGTTTCGTAGATTGAGATCCAAGATTCCTCTGTTCCGGGTAAAGAAAGAAGAAAATGAAAGCGACTAGTCATCAGTTTCCCTTCATGTTTTTTAAGACAGCAAGCTTAGCATATAAGTGTAGAACAATTCTCATGTTAGAATCAGATTGTGAATAATGCTGAAAGCAATTCGTTTTTTGCAGGCTGGTATCATTTAGAGCTACAGTTTTATAAAAAAAAAACCCAAACACCCAAATAGCAGACTGACAGAGACTCCCAATTTCCTTGAAATTTTACTTAAAATTAGGAAGTAACACTCTCTCAGGGGCACCACCAAATTGTTCCCATTAAGAAAAAGTCATAATTACTTCAGAAATACCATTCATTTGTAGGAAAAAGTCCCTCAAAGATAGCATGCTCCAGTGACACAATTTTCCAGAGGCACACTTCAAAAACTTACAAAATACAACAGATCGTGTCCTTACTATTTGGTCACACGAAGTTGAGGAAAATGATGAGTAAAGGATAGAAAACAACATTTCTAAATACTTCATTTAATAATACATGTTTTATTAATGGTAAAAATTGATTTAAAATTCTATAAACATATTTATTGAAAAATTTTATAGAAACATAAATCTGTTTGAGGTGATGTTTCAAATCCTCAAATACAAACTAGAAAAATTTAGATGACAGACACACACATAACTAACCTTTCAGTTAGTGAAGTTGCTTCATTCTCTCTGGTTAATTCCAATAGCTTGACCAACTGGTTATATTCTCGTTCTTTGACTTCAAGTAAGGCTCGTTTGCCTTCTACTTCCTTCATTACATCCTCCTTCTCTTCCATTATAGCATTAATTTTGGTTTCAACTTTCTTTAGGGAGTCATTTAGTTCTTTGAATTCATATTCCAAGACAACTTTTTTCTTTTCCATTTCTCTATGGGGGATACACACACATACATATATGTAAGTACAGATGCATACCTATGTATGTGTACACACACACACACACACACATTTGCCTTATTTTGAGCCCATGCTATCCTTAACTATTTTTACTTTCTAATGAGGCTTCAGAAGTCATAAATCCAGTGATCTCGGAAGTCAGGTGAAGACCACAGATCAGTGGGACTTAAAGGGTGTCTCCACTGAATGCCGCTAAGGGCTGGGGTTTTTCTGGCCTACCCACTTACTCCCCAGATCTCCATGGCTACCATCTCCTGGGATTCTACCCTCATCCTCACCAGCCTCCCTGAACTGACATGAATTTCTCAACTTTGGTGATGGTGGGCTTGGCTTTTACAATCATTATCAGTGCCTGCTTCTTTTGTCCCTCTTCTTTTAAGATCAGTCACCCGAGCAATCACATTATTTCTCCAGAATGTTTATGTCTTCACTTATCTTTATCTTTTTTGGTTCCCCTAAACATTGAGAATTTCCTCAGTGGCTTCTGCCTCCAAATGTACTCTGAATGCTGGGGGGTGTTACATATGTGAGAAGGTGGCAAAGCGTTCTTATCATTTGGACTCCAGGCTTCTGGCTAGCTGATATACACTTCTAGACCATGAAACACTACACAGTTCAAGTAATTTATCCCTTGCACAGCTCTATTAAAGTTAATTGGAGTTCTCCATAAAGATATGATTTATAAGTTGGAAAGAGAATATTGTCCCAAGTTTAAGACATGAACGAGTGTTACAAATGACAGTAATATGCTGCACTGATTTCTTTTAATGAACTTGATATACACAACCTAGACAGGAACAAATGCAGAGGTTTCTAAAATTATAATAGTAGTTTGATGTGTTCAGGTGGTTACCACTCTGTTTTAGTGTACACACAGACAGAGTGAGCTGGGAGGGGTTAAAAATAAAAATATTAAATCATACACTTTTGTGCGGGTTGTTTTTTCTATCTCTTTTCCAATCTGTACAGGAATGGCTTGATGGTGGACTACTTCATCCTAGTAAAGAAAGGAAGGAATGGAATCATGTTCAAGTATGTAATCTTGGATAACAGCAGTTAAGGTAAGCAAATTAAATAGGAGAAAGAAACTACAACATATAGACTTGTTATTATCTGTTCTGTACTATGTAGGGTGGTTTAATTATTCCATTTAATACACACAATGACCTTTTTATACACCAATAACAAAATTAAGAAAACAATCCCATTTACAATTGCATAAAAAAATTCCTAGGAATTAATTTAACTAAGGAGATAAAAGACCTAAGAGGTACGATTGAAAAACATGGTGAATGTTTAAATTTTAAAAAATGCATTACAGTAAAAAACCTACTGCCATTAATCCTCCTCAAAATACTCCCCCTCATGTCGAACACACTTATCCCATCATTGTTGCCACTTTCTGAAGCAGTTTTGGAAGTCCTCTTTTGTGAGTGTCTTTACTTCATCCTTTATCATGACAATGCTCTGTGTCACACATCACTTCTGGTACAGCAATTTCTGTCAAATAAAAACATTACGGTGTGTCCTCATTCACCTTATTCATTGGATCTGGCACCATGTGACTTCCAGCTCTACTCCAAAATCAAAATGATAATGAAAGGAAAATGGTTTGAATTGATTCAGGACATCGAGGAGCCCACAACAGTGCAACTAAAGACACTCATGAAAGAGGACTTCTAGAACTGCTTCAGAAAGTAGGAAGAGTGATGGAATAAGTGTGTTCAAAGTGAGAGGGAGTATTTTGAGGGGGATTCATGGCAATATGTCTTTTACTGTAATAAGTTTTTTAAATGTAAACATTCACTGTATTTTTCTTTCACACCTCCTATACTTGGCAAACTATAAGACACTGAAAGAAGGAATTGAAGCAGATATTAATAAATGGAAACATACACCATGCTCATGGATAGGAAAAATTAACATCTTTAAAATGTCCATATTACCCAAACCAAACTATAGATTCAATGCAATCCCTGTCAAAATACCAATGGCAAGTTTTCACATAACTAGAAAAAATTATCCTAAAATTTATATGGAACCACAAAAGATCCTATATAGCCCCAGCAATCTTGAGAAAGAAGAACAATGTTGAAGGTATCACACTACCTAATATCAAACTATACTATAAGACTATAGTAATTAAAACAGTATGGTATTGGCATAAACACAGACACATAAATCAATGGAACAGAATAGACAGCCCAGAAATAAACCCATGCCTATGTGGTCAATTAATCTATGACAAAGGAGGCAAGAATATACAGTGGGGTAAAGAGGGTCTATGCAATCAATGGTGGGAAAACTGGATAGACACATGTGGAAAATGAAACTAGACCACTTGCCTATACAATACATATGAATAAATTCAAAATGGAATAAAGACTTAAATGTAAGACCATAAAACTCCTAGAAGAAAACATTGGCAGTAAACATCACTTTTATAATATTTTTTTGGATATGTCTCCTCATACAAGGGAAAGAAAGAAAAGAAAAAATAAGCAAATGGGACTATATCAAAGTAGAGATTTTTCACAGCAAAGGAAACCATCAAGAAAACAAAAAGACAGATTACCGAATTGGAAAACATATTCACTAATGATACATCTGATAAGGGGTTAATATTCACAACATATAAAGAACTCATACAACTTAACACCAAGAAAACAAACAGTCTCATTTAAAAAATGGGCAGAGAACCTGAATAGACATTTCTCCAAAGAGGACACACAGATGGTCAATAGACACATGAGAAGAAGCTCAACATCACTAATCATCAGGGAAATGAAAATCAAAACTACAATGAGATATCATCTGACACCTGTCAGAATGGCTATCATCAATAAATCAACAAACAACAAGTGTTGGCGCGGATGTGGAGAAAAGAGAACTCTTGTGCGCTGTTGGTGGAACTGCAAATTTGTGCAGTCGCTATTGAAAACAGTACGTTGTTCTGCAAAAAATTAAAACTAGAACTACATTCCACTTCTGGGTACTTAGCCAAATAAATCCAAAACGCTAATTCGAAAAGATATATCTGTTCCTATGTTCACTGCAACTCTATTTACTATAGCCAAGATATGAAAGCAACCCAAATGCCCATCATTAGACCACTGGATAAACAAATGACACATATATACAATGGAATATTACTCAGTAATAAAAAGAATGAAATCTTACCATTTGCGATAACATGGATGGACCTAGAGGGTATTATGCTAAGTGAAATAAGTCACACAGAGAAAGCAAATACCACATGATCTCACTAATATGTGGAATCTAAAGAACAAAATAAATGAACAAACACAACAGAAATAGACTTATAGATACAGACAACAAACTGATGGTTACTAGATGGGAGGTGGGGATGGTGGTGTTGGGGAGCTGGGTGACAAAGGCAAAGAGATTAAGAAGTACAGATTGGTAATTACAGAATAGTCACAGGGATGTAAAATACAGCATAGGGACTATGTCAATAATATTGCAACAACTATGTATAGTGCCAAGTGGGTACTAGACTAATCAGGGGGGATCACTGCATAAATTATATAATGTCTAACCACTATGCTGTACATCTGAAACTAATCTAAAATAATATTGAATGTCATCTGTATTGAAAAAATATATAATTAAAAAATAGTTTTAAGAGTTATACATTTTTCAAAAATAAATTTAAATTATCTTCTAAGACATAAATACAGGCCTCCCATCACTTTCATGGTGAGAGGGAGATGGAGTGGAATCAACAGACAAGGATAGGTAATAAAAATATACAAAAGAGGTTAGGAAATTTGACTGCTCTTCATGGAAGATACTGTGTTTTTGACACTCATTTTCAGTACTGGAAAATGCTTGGTGAAGTCTAGAGAGGCTTTTCCTTGGGCCGGGGCTTTAAATTACAATGATACAATGATACACGCTATAGTCTTTTGTGAATTCCTAGAATCCAGGTTTAGTTTGATTAGATCAATCACAAAGCTGACCATTTCAGTTTGTGTGATGATAATGATAATGTGATGGGATAACTACTGTAATGGGTGTGTGTACAGTGATGTGGGAGGATTGGGGAGGAAACACCAACACGGGCTGTGGGAGGAGTCAGTCCTTGCAGTCAAACTTGACGCCCATGCACTTTCATGTCCATGCAGGCACAATGCTCGAATATTTCTGAACTCTTGTAGCACACCTTTAGGTTGACCTGATGTTCCAACAATTCTTCTAGTTCTTTCTGTTCCTTCAGTAATTGCTTTTGCTTAGATGTTAAATCTTCCCGTAAATTTTTAATTTCTATTTTCTTCTGCATTATTTCCTTACGTAATTCTTCAGTGCTTTCTTTCAATATTCTCATTTTCTTCTCCATTTCCTTTAAAAATCATGAAAATTATCAGGTTATATAGAGTCTGAACACACATCTATCTACCTAAAAATCAAATTAAATATAATTTTACTTACCATTTAAGTTATATCTGTTTTGAGTTTCCTTAATGTTTTCCTACCAAGTTAAATACAATTTATGATTTCTAACAATTTCAATAAAGGCATGATAATTGTACTACATGTGTTATTTTTTACATTAAATTCATACATTTATTTACTTATGTATTTATGTATGTATGTATGTATTTATTTCACCAGTTCCCTTCTCTATCCTCCTGTACTTTAAATGCTTACTTTTCTGAGGTAATTTTTATTTCATACCAAAAAGCGCTAGTGAAAATTTCCAGCCTATTTTTTAATAGCTTTATGATTTGACAAAATCAGATGCAAATAACCTTTGAACGTCTGGCTTATGGCTAACCTGAGTCACACATGAGATTAGGGAGTTTGTTTTGGAATACCGAAATACCTTTGCACTCTTCAATCTCCCACTTTTCTCCCACTTTCTTATTGATATTACATCTTTCATCTCATTCCCCCAAACAAACACCCGCCACCACAGACTGATAACATATCTGTTTCCCATGACTGATTATTTGGGGAGTGTTTGACTTATGGGAGAGAAGCCTTTTTATATTCAGAAAGTCTACACATTACTAATGACTGAGTGGATAGATCCCTTAGTCTGTTTCTGGGCTTTCTGCATACCTCCCTCCTCCACTACTACTGGGAGAGGATAAAGTTGGTGATTCTATGATCTGGAACTAAAATTCAAAATGCTTTTTCCCATAAAAATTTGTGTTGTAAATGGTGGTTAGGTATCTTTATATAATAGTATATATTATATATACTATATATAATAATGTGTACATATTATATACACATACATATGCATACATACATACATACATACATACATACATACATATTTTACTCTATGGTAAACAGGCTTTTTTATTATACCTTGGAATTAAAACAGCAACGACACGCTTTTGAAATAAAACCATTCAGAAGGTGGAAGCAATGTAAAGTGTGATGCTCTTTCTATTTACTTTGTATAATAGATTGCAAAAAGTGGACACAAATTCCTTCCATTCCTGTATGTCTTTGACATTCTTCCATTAAGAAGTAGGGCCTATTTTCCTAACCTTTGATTTTATTTGGCCACGTGACTTGCTTTGACCAATGAAATATCCCAAAAACTATTTAAGCGAGGCTTGAAAAGTGCTTGCATGTTGGAGTTTGCCCTCTGTTAAGGCTGCTTGTCTCTTTTCTTAAGGCTGGTAACCGTTCCACACTTATGTGACTAACTAGCGACATGTGAACTTAGACCAACTAGCCAGCCAACTGGCTGACATACAAATGAAGCCTTCCTAGACCACTTAGCCCCAACTCAGCCAGCTTAGACCAGAAGAATTCAGAACTGTGAAAAATAAGAAATGGTTCTTTTAAGCCACTAAGTTTTGGGGTGATTTGTTATGCAGGAATAGATAAGTAATATATCGTCTTTATAAAAATTTCTTGTAATAAGCTGTTCAGGAAACTATGAGGGTAATAGCTGTAGCAAAATAACGTTCTTAAGTGCCAACCACAGAATCCTTTTTTGTCTTCTGAAAACAAAGTAGATATTGTCCAGCTAAACACAATCTAAACTAGGTGCCAAAATAGCTAAAGCCTATAATAGGCACCACCTATGTTTACTCCAGAAGTTAGACAGACATTCCTTTCAGCATTGTCCACAGCTAAGACTTTTGGATCTTTCCAATGTTTCAGGGTATGGTTGTTGTGACAAATTAATATTTATCAAAAGGGATGTTTGCATTCAGCTGTATTTAGCAAACTCTAGACTTTCTAAGACTTACTCCTGGCTTAGGTATCTTCTCGAATTCCTTTATTATGAGGCTTTTTTCTTCCATTAAGCTGCAAATAAATAAATAAATAAATTAATTAATTAATTAAAAATTAAAAAAAAGTTTTGACAAAGTAGAAAGGAGTTAGCGATTTCTGCCGTGATAACTTTCCTTTTTCTCTTCTCAAAATGTATTTCCCACGCTTGTTTGCCAGGCCCAGGGTCCATTCTTGATGATGGCTTCAGTGACTCCCACAGGCCCATTTAGGTGCTTTCTCCCCAGTCCTCCCACAACACAGTGTACACACACCCGTTAGAGCAGTTATCTCATCACTTTGCAACTGCCTGGGAGCCCCACCTCCCAGCTAGACTCTGGCTCCTTTCAGGCAGACCCGGGCCCTTCTTTATATCATTTGCAGTGAACTAGTGTTTACCTAGACAATTGCAGTATCTTTTTTTTTTTTTAAGATTTTTATTGGGGAATTGGGGGGATGGGAACAGTGCTGGGGAATTGGGGGAAGGGGAACAGACAAGTTGCTGTCGTTTTGTTCTTCAATCTAGTTGTGGAGGATGTTGCTTCACTGGCCCAAGTTGGCACCATCATTGCGCTCTTCTCTGGCGAGGCAGATCAGTCGCCGGCTTCTGGACGGCCGCTCACTGCGGCTGCTGGCCACTCACGCTGGCTGCTGGCTACATATGGTAGCCCATGGCAACCCACTGCCACAGGGAGTGCAGCCTACGCCGTCGCCGGCGACTCATGGCAGCCCAGCTCCAGGTTGAGCTGTCGTTCAGCATCTTAGCTGTGGAGGGCAGTGTCACTGGCCCTTATATGTGGGATCCGAACCGGGGCCCTCTGGCATCCCAAGCGAGTTCTTAACCATCGCGCCACTCGGCCGGCCCAATTGCAGTATCTTTCACTGGTTCCATCAAATAAGCAGATCCCGCTAGCCAGAAGGTCTGGGAACATGGAACCAAAGATGCATGCACACTAGGTTGTATTTTTATGAAATTTTATTTGCAATAATGTAAATTGAGGTTAGCGTAATAAAGTACGTGCCACGTGGAATTTAATATAGGTTAGTTGTTTGGCCACAGGCTGAAGCTGAATTTTCCAGAGTTTTGAATACTTGTGCCTTTGCTTTGAGAGCTTGCATATAAATTGACATTTTACTTCCTGGCTATTGAGCCTACACGTCAGCCATGCTGCCACATGGGGGCGGTAGTGTGCTGACATCTTTGTGTTGTAACCCCAACTTGAGTGTCCCTGAGTTTCAAAATGGTGACATGAAGTTCTCCCACAAGCCAAGATTTAAACCTTTTCTTTAAATAAATATAAAATTATCTTTATTTAAACAAACATAAAATGGCCAATTCTTTAGGGCAGTTTTAACTAATTATATTTCTATTATACATTTCCTCATTTTTATTAAGAAACACCGATTGACTTTTTTTCTTTAAAAATGTATGTTTTTCCATTTATACAGAAATACAGTTGACCCTTGAACAACACAGATTTGAACTGCGTGGGTCCACTTCACACAGATTTTTTTTCAATAAATGCTATACACGTATTTTTCTCTTCCTAATGATTTTCTTAATAACATTTTCTTTTCTCTAGCTTACTTTATTGTGAGAATAGAGTATATGATATATATATGTGTGTGTGTGTGTGTGTGTGTGTGTGTGTGTGTGTGTGTGTGTGAATTGACTGTTTATGTTATTTGTAAGGCTTCCAGTCAACAGTAGGCTATAGTAGTTAAGTTTTTGGGGAGTCAAAAATTATATGTGGATTTTTGGTTGCGTGGTGGGTTAGCGCCTTTACCCCACCATGTTGTTGAAGGATCAACAGTATATCATTCATAATCCCACCCATCACACCAGTTTACCATTTTTATTTCTCTTTTAACATCTTTAATATTATTTCATATCTTTCTAATAGAATATTTCTAATCGATACACTCATATTATTTTCCTTTTAGTACCTTTTAATGAAATTATATCAAATTTGTCTATATGGTTAAATCTATTTTTATCCAACATGTAGTTAAAATATTTTCCCAATTGAAAAGCAGACTTCATAATAATTTAATAGCTAGCTTCAAGGTTTTCTAGTGAATGAATGTACCATAATGAAATAATCCTAAATATTACCTAATTTTACTGAATTTACTTTATGCCAGGTACATGTATCATTTCTAAACTTCAGAACATTGCTAAGTAAGTATTGATATCCTCATTGTACAAATGAAAAAACTGAGGAGTTAGCACCTTTTCCAAAGTTACACAGTCAACGCTGAACTGACATTCAGACCCAGTCCTATCTGACACCAGAGCGCTTTTCAGTGTCAAGTGCCTCTGGAATACATATTATTTAACCATCCCACTATTGTTTAGAACTTGGATTGCTTTCAGTTTTTCACATTTATAAATAATAATGTAATGAACAAATTTCTCTCCTTTTGGATTCTCAGTTTTGCATGGCATTACAGGGATTAAAAGAAAATTTATGCCTTTTGATATATATTAACTCTCAACCTTTTAGACTGATATTAACATTTAAATCTGTCTGACATTTTCAGCTTCAATGTCAAAGCTCCTCAGGATTCATTTATTTTCTGCAGCAAGAGAGTTCTAACTAAAAACATGTCATCAGAAGTTTTTGGTTTTAAGGACTTGTGGGTGAAGAGACAGTGCAGGGAGCCCTATGCTGCCATGTGCAAGAGACATTGTTTACATCAGGAGTAGAACCAGCCTGAATGGGTGGAAATTGCAAGAAGATAGATTTCTGAAGCAATGCAAGCAATAACCACCTAAGAGTCAGGCTGTCAAAGCAGGCATGGCTACTGTGAGCCCGGGTCACTGGAGGTGTTTAAGCATAGAATGAGTGATCAGTCAGAGACTACTCAGGTGATTCTCACATGTAGTCAGGGCTGAGAACCACTTTTGAGATCAATAGTTCTCAAACTCTGACGTCAATCAGGATCACATAGGAAGCTTGTAAAAAATTCAAATGTCATCTTGGGTGGGAAGGCTGAGAAAGAAATCATTAGTTTTAGGGTTGGAGCCATTGTTTAAACAAGCCAGGTGTTCCTCTTTTCGTTATAAGGACTACACTCTGCAAAACCTGTTCTAAGATGGGGCAAGAAAGATTTTTGTTTTTTTAAAGTTTAGAAGGTATTGTAAAATCTGTTCCAACTGTGTTTTTCCTTCCTGCTAATCCTGTTGACCTGTATGTTCCTCTATCATACTCTAACTTTCTGAAATTCCTGATGTATTGCTAAAATAATTCCTGTTCCCTTCTTACTGGATCTGTTTGTTTCTTGCTTCCATCGTTGCTGTCAGTATTGGATTAGAATGGAAAACAACTACTAAACTTTGGGCGAGCACCAACAGGGATGACAGGGACCAGCTATGGGACAGTAAATAGTCACCAAGGCCAAGATAACATTGGGACAGTACTGCAAGTGTGCAGCATGAGTGTCCCCACTCTCCACGTCCCCACCCGCAACAGACAGTGCTGACCATGGCCTGGTTTCCCCAGCTGACCTATGCTTGTCAGAGTGCATCAGATTTAGCATGTGAGACACAATTTATTTGCTGTCCAAACCTTAGGAATTACTAGAAAGCAGAGAAGTAAAAAAAAGGAATTACTAGAAGGCAGAGAAGGCAAGGTAAAGGTTGAAAAGAATATCGGATAGGGGCCAGCCGAGTGGCTCAGTTGGTTAAGAGTTGCCTTGGGAGCGCAAGCTCTGAGCAGCAGGGCTGCCTGTTAGGTCCCCACATGCGCCAGTGACGCTGCGCCCTCTACAGCTAAGATTGTGAACAACAGCTCGAACTGGAGCTGGGCTGCTGTGAGTGGGCAGCAATGGTGTAGGCTGCAGGGGGCTGCAGGGGGCTGCAGTGGGCTGCCATGAGTAGCCGGCAGCCAGAGTGAGTGGCTGGCAGCTGGCAAGAACTGCCATGAGCCACTGTGAGCAGCTGTCCAATGACTGGCGAGCGACTGCCTCATGCGGGAAAAGCACAATGATCACAATACCATCATGGGTCAGTGAAGCGACATCCTCCACAACTAGACTGAAGAACAAAAAGGATAACAACTTGCCTGTTACCCTCCCCTAATTCCCCAATAAAATGTTTAAAAAAAAAAAGAATATCGGATAATCTTTTCAGGGAAAGTTCTTAGAAAGATCATGGCTTCTACTTTGTTTCCAAAATAAATTTTCAACAGTAGTTATTTAATCACTTGATTATTTATTTATAATGTATTCATTTCACTTATTTAAGTAGGTGACATATTCTTTCCTGAACAGAATATTTATCAAAAGATCATCAATAAATATTAATCCCCAAGCTGAAACTATGTTTTGGAACAGATTTAATTATTAACTGACCACATTATTATTACCATTAGCATTTATTAAAGAATTTATATTCTGTGAAAACATGTGAAAGTCAACCAAATTATAGAGTAAAATCCTTTTTCTATAGAGTACTTGAACAATATATTATTCTTAGTTGTTGCCAGTGATTCAGAAGTTCCTACAGATGTTGGGTGGAGAAGTGCTAGTTATTTCGACTTCTATTATCTAGACCCTGAATAAAATGAGAGTTTGTTGTGCCCATGTGAAAGATATCATCTGTATGTTTGGATGAATAGTCTTCTCTCACTGGCTTAGTTTCTTTATTTTTATGTGAGGTTAGAAATATCTGCTTTTTTCCTGGGGAGAGAGTGTTGAGTGAACTTGTTTCTGTGCCAGATAATACTAGATATGTTATGCCAATGAAATATGCAGTCTATTATTCTTATTGTTTCCTGATATTTCTTTGATATTACCATTATTTTTATGAAAATAAGTTTGTTAATTCTGGAGCGGTTAATGTTTGAGAAAGGAAGGGAATTTTCTCAAGCTAAAGTATCTTGCATTACAAATCCCAAAATAATACACACTAAACATTTCTGTAAATGTGCATTTTGAATGTTCTTGCTCACAGTGAGTCACTATGCATGTCCCCTCCCTATCCCAAGGAACTCAGTGAACAATTTGTCTGTCTATACCTCAAAGGCAAAAGTTCTGGTTGTTGTTGTTTGTTTGTTTTTTTCCCTTGGCAGGAATACTTGGAAATTTTAAACAACTTAAATATCAACTGACTTATGTTCCTCTTACCCTTTCATGGAAATGTCAAGCATTCATATTTTCAATACTAATGAACAACCACCAATTGTTTTAATTTCATTATTTTCTCAACTGAAAGAATGCTTACAGAGCACAGAAATAGCTAGGCTTTCTTTTTATAGACCTCACTAGTGAGCATGAAACAAGTTTAGATTGAAAGACAAAAGAGAACTCAGAATTTTTCCCTCTGAATATAATTCTGAGTAAGCTAGCCTTTCTAAACCTCCAGCTGAAAAAATAGACCTCAAAGAGAGGACCCCAAATCTAGGACCTGTAAGGTCCCCAGGAGGTCACTCAAATCATTTGCTTATCTCTCAGCAGGACTGAATTATATTTGCTCAGTCAGAATCTACTCTTAAAAATAGCCAGAAAAAGTTCTGCCACCTTTAATGGTAACAAATTCTAGGAGAGATGGTTTGGCTTTCTCTCCAGTACCCAGGCATAGCGCACGCACATCAAAGCACAAAACCTGGATTGCAATCATTTTGAAATTCAATCTAAATAGTAAGATTTGCTGAACGAACTCTTCCACTGATCTGCTACTCACAGGAGAAATATAGAGATTTTTAGAAATAACATTTGTCCTCTAGCAATACGTTTCTGTCATTTTTTAAATGGTTTTTTCTGTTTTCTTTTCCTTTTTTTTTCTTTTAATTTTTTATTGGGAAACACTGTGTTTTTCCAGGACCCATCAGCTCCAAGTCAAACAGTTGTCTTCAATATAGGTGTGGAGGGTGTAGCTCCTTGGCCCATGTGGAAATCAAACCAGCAACCTTGGTGTTATGAGCCTGCGCTCTAACCACTTGAGCTAACCAGCTGCCCCTAGCAATGCATTTCTACTTTTGTTCACTGAATGACCTCCTCTCTATTTGGATAAGTAAACGTGTCTTCCAAAAGGATGTAACTTTCTTCTTTGATTGTAAGGAATAGTTTAGTAATAGGAGAAGTTTGAATGTGTGGTCCACATTCCCATATCAGAAGAATAAAGCCAGATGGGACCCTCAGCTCAAATAGGCTTGTTTGGAAAGTGCATGTGGGGCACTCACCACAGTCACACGATCTGGGACTGCAAAAAAGATAAGGGGCCACCGAGGGTGACAGCGTATGCCAAGCCCTTGTTCTGAGGGGTGTGTTCTCTGCCTGCAGCTCCCAGTGTTCATGGCTTGTCTGACACATGGAAAACGCAGCAGGGAACTTCTCCTGAGAGGGAGCTGTCCCCTGAACTTTTTTCTACAAGTTGTGTAACGTTATTCTTCAGGGACTGCCTGTTCTAGGGAATCAAGGAAAGTTCCAGGCTTGTAATCTTAATGTTGCTAATTGTATACTCATTGTACCTAAAGTTCCTTCCTAATGTAGCCTAATTTTTCCAATCGTGTTTACGTGAAAACAGCGTGGCTGGTACCTGTCCTCAGGGTGCTGAGAGAACTGTGTGCTTACCTATTCATCCTGTACTGATTGTGGAACTCTCTTTCCTTCACAGCATCATATTCATTTTGATACTTGAGGAGCTGTTCTCTCATCTTAGAGACCTCGGTGGAGAATGCCTCTGGAAAGTTATCGGCTCGCTGCAGGTGGAGCTGCTGCTGTTGGATTTGCTCAGTGAAACACTTGGCGTTCTGCAGCAGCTGGACCTCTGACTCTTGTGTGCTGGGGTTTTTAGGAAAACAGAGATTCACATAATGAGAAGTGCACACCTTCAATCCCCTTAGTAGCTCTTGTGGGGGTCTAGCGAAGAGTGGAAGAGCATGTCTACATTGCTTCTTGCTCCTTCCATTCCTGGGTTGAATTCAATTCAGTGACGCTTTTGTGCCGAGTATTGCAGTAAGTACTAGAGGTGAATGGAGCTCACAGTCTAGCAGAGGGAGGCAGATGTAAACAGGTACTGGAGTACCAGGTGACAAGTGCTACCACAAGTGTCTAGATCAAAATGGTAGAAGATGACAGAGAAAGGACTTAGTTAGATGGGACTGTGATATTTGCACTTGACTTTGAAGAACAATTCCAGGGAGTAATAATAAGGAGAAGGGTCCTCCCTTCAACTGCCCCAGCAATGCTGGCTCTCTCAGATTCTTGAATTCTTCTGACTTGATTATGGGAAAATCTTTTCCTTCTTAGTGAACTACAAAAATACAGAAAGTTTTCTAGTGATGCATTGCGAGGAAACTAGGAAGAAAAATTCCCCTATAAAATGATGGACGTAAGTTAATTTACAGATTTCTGATCTTAAATTCAACGCCTGACTAAAGCTGGACTTTACTGTCACAGTAGAGGGGACTCCTACAACCCCAATTGTATTGTGTGGTCTCGGCCCTATCCAGGAAGAAGGGTTAAGCATTTAGTTAGAAGCAGATTGGAATGGATGTAGAAATTAGACTTGATGGAATCTCAAGGATCTTCTAGAACTCTTCTATGCTGCGGGCTAGCATCAGCTCCAGCCTTACCAGCAGATCTGATTCATTTTTGGAAACCCAACTGCCTCACATTAGCTACTTTTCCTATTCAGAAGTAAGACCATTGCCATTTCCTGTTTTAAAGCCAGCACTCTCTTTTTTTTTTTTTTTTTTTTTTTAGCTGAGCCATCCTGCCATCTGTTGGCAGCTCAGCGGCTGCTCAGCTTCGGCCGGGATCGAACCGCTTTTGCTCAGAGCTCAAACTCTTGAGCGAGCTCTTAACCAACTGAGCCACTTGGCCAGCCCTGCCAACACTCTCTTTTGAAGCACGCGCCCCACCACTTTTCCTCACCAGGAGAAATATTCAAGTTTCAGCTCATCTGCAGAGATGGCCTAATGACTTGATCAAACCTGTCTCAACTGAAGCTACGAACTCCACCCATTTTCCCAGCCTTTAATATGTCACTTGCTCGATAGCATCCAGAGAAATATTTATTGGGACATAATATATTCCAGGCACTATGTCAGGGACCAAAGAGCAACAACAGTCACAATGATAACACATAGAATTTCCATTGATGAAAGCTGGAATTATTTCTTACAATTCAATTTTCTTCTATGCTAATATACTTTGTAAATCCAAAGTTATCCTGTCTTCTTAACATGAGTCCTCAACTGTGGAATTGTAAGTTATTGTCTTGGGCCACAGCGCCTGTTTTCCCCCAGAAAGGAGGTAGACAAGGTGGTTAGGGTTCCAGCCAGAACACAAATTGTAATTTACCTACATTTAGTGTCAGCTGTAGAAAATTTAACTATTCTTAAAACAGTTTTTATGAAAAACGCATTCAGTTTCATTTCAGCATTTCCAGCCTATATCTCCCCTGCTATAGGCCCAGCAGCCAGAGTAAAAATCTACTTCATCATGCCTTTCCCAACCACCAGGCAGTGGGAGTGGGAGACAGAGGTGACAAAACAGGAAACTAAGCGGTTAAGAGGAGGGAAAATGTGGGTAGCAGAAGGAGAGTAATCGTTTTGCAACACAGCCGCGAAGTAGGAAGAAGTAACGCCATAGCCTTGGTCCTGCGATGCTAACCCTGGGGCCCCGGGAACTGAGCTGTGGGTCAGGCAAGGAGGAAGTCACGCCAGCACTCCACAAGGGCTCTAGATGAGCACAATCCAGAGGTTGAGAAATGTTACAATATTCCTGTATCTGCAAAGCGGTTCGGAGGGATGCCCTGAGAACTGCATGGACTTTTCTCCATTTAAGCAGTGTGAAGTGTACTGGAAAAGATTACCCCAGACTTCCCATCCAGATCCTTTCAGTTCCTGAGTCTTGAGAATTATGTGCACACACCAGCAAGCAGGACCACTTGTGGGAAATGGAGTCTCCACTAAGGATAAGGTTTAGGACTCAGCTTGGGGCTGGGGAGGAAGAGGAGAAAGAGGAAGAGGATGAAGAAGAGGAGGAGGAGAAGGAGGCAAAGCTGAGGGCTCTGGAGGGTTAGGAACCTCGGTGGAGCTGAGTAAGTATGGGTGGGGTGAAAGAGAAGGGTGGAAGGGATGCAGCTCTGTTCCCCTCCTAGTCATTCACTCTTGTTTCCATCCTCAAAGTAGCCAAATGACGATGCAAAGAAAGAAGCTGGGATAATGGTTGGAGATTGGGAGACAGGATGGCTGCGGAATGGCAGGATGGAGTTTCTGTCCACTGCTGTCTCTCCTTGGCTTTTGATGAAGACATCAAGCAAGGCTATGATGCATGAGGTGGGGGAAAGGAAGAAAGAAGTGTGGGAGTAGTAAGGAGTAGTGGCAGAGAAGGATTTCTCTTTCTTTCTTCATGCTCCTTCCCCCTTGATTCCCAATGGCTGATAGCAGGAAACCTTGTTGAATTGTGCTGTGGAAGCCTATTCTGACCTGCTGCGGACTGGGACTGGGCTAAGGTGAGTAGCCTGGCGTAGGAGGAAGAGGTGAGACATGGAGACCGAAGTCTCAGCAAACGTAGGCTAGGGTTGTTGTAGAACCTATACATCTGAGTGGTGAAGAGAGGTGGGGAAGGGAGAATCCTACAGGTGTGTCATTTAGCAGTTAGTGTCAGTGTCCCACCCGAATCCCCTTGGCCCACTCTCATGCATACCAGCAGCACCTGTGAGCTTCTGCCTGAGAGCTTTCTCTTGCCGTAGGAGCTCACCTGGCTTTTCAAAGGGCAAGCTAGACATGCCAGGAGCTCATCTCCTTAGGAGCAAACCTTAATCAATGAGGGATGGACAGATACCCCAGTTTCCTCACTTTTCAGTGGGAGAGTTCTGAGGTATGGTCTATACAGTCACACAGAGGGTCCTCAGTGAGACCGAGCCCCAGTTGCTCAGTGTTAACCCGAAGACCAACACACCCCCAGATGGATTCTTCCCTTCCCTATCTCACTTCCCCATGCTCATGATAATCTCTGGTATCACTTCTCAAACTACTTGAGCTCAAATCCTTGCTTCAGGGTCTGCTTTTGGGGGGAATGCAAAATAAGATAGGTCCCATCACAGGAAGGAATATAAATATGATAAAAGATGTTGCCACATGGGTAAATAGCATACCTCCTAACAGTATCATGCAGCAAGGTGTACTTGGCTTTTAACTCTGCCATTCTGGTTCCAGGAAGCTTTCCCACAGCATGTAACTAGAAAGAGAACACAAGGTCACCGTCTTTAGGCATTAAGCAGAGATAACATGGATATATGAATAGCTTATAAAGTCTTTCAGTTAAACATTAGCAAGGAAAACGTATGAAGCAATATGGTATATTAGAAAGATGCTGGGTGTTTGGAAACAATAGTTCAAGTTCTATTTTTTCTCCAGGAAGCTCTGTGGTCCTGGGCAAGTCCTTTCCCTCTCTAGATGAAGACAGATTTCTCCATCTGTAAATTGAGAGAACGAATTGAGTTTAAAAACGTATTTCTAGGTTTAGCAAACAACCTGAATAGTGTAGATTACTAAGATGACTATTTGTATGTTGAGAGAACTAATAATTATTAGGCATCTATTCTGAGCAAGTGTTATATATCAGTTATTTAATTCTCAAAAATGTTTTGTGAAGTAGGTATTATCTCCAGTAAATCAAAGTTTAGGAAAGTTAAATAAGTTGTTAAAGTTATGGAGCTATTTAAAGGCAGAGCCAGGATTGAAACCTAAGTGGTCCAGCTCCAAATATCCATGATCACTCTCCTGTATTACGAAACTTCTGCCTCTGCTGTCAAAGAAGCAAGAAAGTTAATCTGGTACATAAAGCAATATTATTTCTTTCTTTTTCATTTCCAGTAAAAGAACTTTGGATTTATTCTCCGAGTTAGGTGATAAGTAGTTAGTAGACATCATAACACAATATTAAACACTGAAGTTTTCCCATAATGTGATGAGCCTTTGTGCTAGGTTTGACTTTAACTGAACTGCTAGTGACATGGTATTGAAAAACAGAACTAAAGAAAAGATTTGTGTTTTTCAGTGCCCTGTTGTTCTTACTTCCAAAACATTTATTGAATCTATCCACTTTCCTCTCCCTTCCCTGATCCCCCTAGTCTAAGTCACACCATCTGTCAAGGACATCACCACAAAACCTCCTCTGTCCTCCCCTTCCCACCACTGTTTCCACTCAGGGCCCCCATCCATCTACTACCCATGGAGATCTTTCTAAAAATCAAACAAGGTCTTGTTATGCTGGGTGCTCAAAACTATTCAAGTGGAATAAGATTTAAGATCCTTGAAATGACCCTTAAGGTCATTCATAAATGCAAGAATCTCTTTCTTTCCCCAGGGCCTCTGCATTGGCCATTCCTTACTTTACCCCTGCTTCACTCCAACTCTTTCTTCATACCTCAGCTTAAATATCAATCCATGAGAAGGCCTTCTCTGACTTCTAAATCTAAGATAGATATCCACATACATCACCAACCCCCAAAGAACTGTTTTCCATAATATCCTACCATCTGCAGTGATAAGTTTATGTGATTAAAAAAAAATGTTACATCCCAAGTAATAAACACCATGAGGAAAGGGTCCAGATCACCTTGCTCTTCACTCTCTCCTCAGCCAGTGGAACCTCAGGCACAGGATAGGTGCTCGGCAAATATATGCTGAGTGAGCCAATGAATGAATGTAACTGATAAAGTGCAAAGGTCTGAGTCTACACAGTGGGGCTCCATGGCCTCTCTATTCAAATCAGGGTAGAAAAACATTGGTAAATGCCCTATAGAACCATCTCTTCTTTGTGAAAGTGATTGGGATCTTTCACAAGGGCTCTACAAGCTGGTGCCAGGCCCACGTTCCAATCCCCACTATACTTATTTTTAACATATGGGTGAAATATGGTGAACAGGATTTTTAAGACCTTTGAGGAGGTTCCACTTCTCACTATAAGAAATATCCTAAAATGTATTCATATGTCACCTTAAATATCATTTATATGTAACTTTTTAAGTGTTGTGTTGCTGTTGGTAGGTTAACCTAATGTTATATTTTATAGAAATTTAACCAAACACATTTATTTTGGTTCTGCCATTTTCCTTCTGTATTTTTGAGTCAATATATAACTTGTTTCAGGTCTCAAATATTTTCATTGGATCCTGTAAAGGGGGTAGACAACAGACACAAGCTTTAAAACCCAATAGGTAAAAAAAAAAAAAAAAGAACAGCTTTACATATGGGCACACTTAAAAGAGAAAAGTTATTGGGAAATGTTATAAGAAGGTAAGTGCAGGAGTATTTGTACGAGTATGTGTGTACTTTGAAGGCCATGTGAGGGCCAGACTGGTAACCAGCCAACAAACCAGCTACAGGAGGTAAGCCATTGGGTGAGGTAACTATGGACTTATATTTTTAAAAACACATATATTATTTGGTTTTGTTTTTAATCTGAAAAGATCATTATCTCCTACATACTGCCCTGCACCATGGAAACGGAAGTAAATGTGACCTAAGCCCTGCCCTAAAGTAGCTCACAGATCGAGGAGATACACACAAAAGAAATTACAGAAGGCCTAAACTATACTTGGTAGTCTTACTGTTAGTAAATAACTATATTTGGCATTTTGTAATGTTCTTTATACTGTAAGTTAAAGCAAATAAGTAAAATTATAAATTACAGACCACTTCCGGGGGTGGAACTTCTAGAAAGGTGGTGTAAAGAGCTTGATGAATTTTTCTTCCCCAAAGAAGCATTGATTAAACTGGTCAAAGTTATCTAAGACAACCAATAAAAGTCTCTGGAAATTGACCTAAGGGTGTGCAAGAAATTGAGCAGCATTTATTCAACAAAATCTACTGAAACTCTGTAAGAACAGTGGGAAGTTGTGGCATTTGAACCATGAGTTGCATCCATTACTCCTAGCTCAAGTTGTGGAAGAACCCCCCCCCACACACACACACACACCTTCTTATTGCTGAGGATCTATTCAGATGAGTGGGGCAGCCCCAGAAGACTGCTGTACTCATCCTCCCTGCTTCCCAGCCCTGTATGTAAAAGAGCTTTACTGTGGGTAGCTGCCGCTGTTCAGTAGTGCCCCTCCCCACAGCCCAAGCTCCTGCTTTATAAGGAGACTCTGGGTAGGGCAACTAAAGACACTCAGAGTACCCCATCCCTCCAGCTCCTTCTGATCAAGGTGGGGCTGAGCAAGCTGTGAAGGCGTGCAGCTCTGCAGCCCTGCCTGACAATGCTCACTTTGGGGAACAGAGTGTAGATTATCCGTGCCCCAGAGCATTGTCAAAAACAATAGATATCACAAGGGTTAATAATAAGTGGAGACTAATAGCTTGGTGATACAAGTAGAGGCAGATGAGAAGTTTAACAGAGAAATTGGGGTCCAAGACAGCCAAAGAGTGCCCTGCTAAAATCAACTCGATACTTGAGGTCCAGAAGGCTGAGGAAAAGCCCACAGCTGTTATCATGCAGGAGTGACCAGATGAGGATACTTATGAGCTGTCTGTCCCTGTGCTAAAGGCCAGGCAGATAGGTAAAGACCCTAAACTCTAAACGTGGTCCCCAAGCCACATACAGACTCAATGGAAAAGGGTGAAAATGTTACTGGCTCAGGAGGCTTAATTAAATACAATCTCTAACCAATCAGTGGCTAACCACTAAGCTATGTTGACACAGGGGCAATCCCCCAGGAAACCAAGCTTAGAAATAAAAACAAGGAAGGAATATATAAGCAAAGACATCAGAAACAGAACTCTATGGGGCAAATACACTTCACAGAATTAGTGTAGCCAAGTTACTAAACAAATAAACATATGAACAACCGTAACAAAACAAACGGCGACAACAAAAAGCCTGGGGAGGATCGGAATCCAGAGTTGCTACAATAAATTACCTAAAACGTCCAATTTTCAACAAAAAAAATTATGAGACATGTGAAGAAATGGGGAAAAGGCAGAAACTGCTTTAGGGGTGCAGATGTTGGACCTAACAAATGACTTCACATAACTATTATAAATATTTTCAAAGGATGAAGGGAAATCATACTTAAGCAATTAAAAGAATGATGATAATTCATCAAATGGAGAATATCAGTAAGGTATTGGTCTAGGAGGATAAGAACTAAGATGTTAAAATGTTCTTTGGGTAGTAAGAATGTATGGCTTTTATATTTTTATTTTTGCTTATTTGTATTTTCTAATTTTCCCCAACGCATATTTACTACTTTTAATAATAAAAGGCTATTAAAACATACTTGAAAACTACTGGGCTTGAAAACAATAGGGATTCACAGCAGAATTTCAAACTGCAGACAGAGTCCTGTGATTAGATCCTACTGGCAGATACAGACAGATTCTAGCTCAGACTTAGTGAAAACTCAGCCATATTTTCCCTAATTTGAGTCTCATCTAAAACAGCAGTAGTTTGAAGCTTGTTGGCAGGTGGGCCACGGATGCATGTTGGTGTGCTTTTATGACCACAGGAAAAGCAGGAGGCTGGAGAGGTTCCCTCTCCTATTCACTGTTTCCATCACTCCACTAGCCATACTGCCTTTGGCGCCTAAGAAGCTGTGAAGAAAGCTTGACAGGTCAAAACATCTGATTGGTTTCTACATAATTTGGAAAAGGTTAAGTCATAGATATTCAGAAAGAGGAATGATAAGCTATCTTTTCTTTGGTCCACTCTACTAAAAACAAACAAACAAACAACAAAAATATTTTAAAGAAAAAGACCAAACTGTGAAGGGTGGAATTTATTCTCCTTAAAAATAAAAATCATAATCTGGATGTTCATATTCATCAGAATTGACATTTCTGTGAAGTTGTGAACTGTTTCTTTAAGCAAGTCAAGCTCTGGTTAGAAACTTCAGACTCCATTCTAGTAGATGAAATGCTTCACTCACAAACATAAACATGGAAAAAAATAGTTGCGTTTTCACACTACATGATACAAATGGGTACCAAGCTTGTCATGTTTGAAAAATGCCGTATCTAAAAAATAGAGCATAAAGACCAATCTTAAGTTGTCAAAGAGCATATACAATAAAAGGTTAGATATAATGTCATAGTTCATAAAATATGATTTCACAATAGGTAGTTGTGTTACTGAATTGCCTTGTTGGTAGTTGAGACTGGAAGGAAACATTTACTCTAGAGCTAAAAGTTTAACAAGAATTCATGATTCATAAATGGCATCTAATAATGTGGAAA